ACAATTTTGAGACTTTTCGTCACGCTGGTTTACTCGAATTTGCACAGGTTTCACTGTTGATATTGTCAAGAGTACACAGCGAAAAAATTGGAACTCCACGATCGAGCAAAATGAAATATCTGGAGCGGGACGCAATTGGACGCATTTGGGGCATTTTTCGTACTGTCGCTGCGATCTAGCGCTGGATAGATGGTGTGCTGGCGATCATGATCGACCTCATTCTCTTCCTCTCGCGGAGACCTTTCCAGGAAGCCCTAGATTGTGAGGATTGAGTGAGTAGAACTGAAGCTATGATCCAAGGAACACGAAAAAATGCAGAATTTTGAAATTTTCCTGTGGCTCTTAAAGGGTTAAAGCTGTGTGGACCCTGGCTAGCGCCAGACGTTACTGAAGTAACGTCTTCTGCATAGCTACGGGAATAAATAGAGGTACATTAAATTTTGATGTTCGGTCATGATGGAAGGAGAGGTGGAGCTACGGGAGAGATGAGCTGATTATTCGCAGGGTGAAGGTGACATCGGTTGGACGAGTATGACAATTACGAAGACAGTTGAACATGATAACTTTCGAAGGTAACTCAAACTAATTCGGCAATGAAAACATCTCTTTAAAAAAGAAGTCATCGCAAGAATAATTATAAGAAGTAATGTTTTGGGAGAATGAAATTGAAGACACCACTGCAGCTGTACTTCATCATCATCATCATCATCTGCGTTGCCGAAAAAATAATAAAAGTAAAATTTTAAAAATAATAATAAACGGCATTATGCAGCTGTGTAAGCAGTAGATGCACAGTGCGACTGCCAGGCATCTCTGTCAGATGCCAACTGGCAATTCTCATGCAGAGACATACCAGTCCACGAAACGATGTTGTCAGCAAAGGAAATCTTCGGACGACCACGCTTTCTCTTACCATCCACGACACCAAACATCACGTCACGTACAAGCTCGCAGCCAGATGGGCGGCATGTGTGCCCGAAATAGGTCAATTTGCGTATCTTGACCCTGGCTAGCAGCTGTCTCTGTACTCCCAACTCCACCAGGATACTGTCATTTGTGCGCTTCTCCATCCAGGATACTCTGAGCAGACGTCGGTAGCACCACATTTCTGCTGCCTGTATTCGTCGTTCATCTGTCTTCCGCAGAGTCCAACTCTCAGCTCCATACAGCAGGACAGACCACACTAAGGCATGCATTATCCGGATTTTCAGCTGTCTGGAGATGTTGTGGTCTTTCCAGATGTCAATTAACTGCAGCATACGCTCTTTCGCCATGGCAATTCTTGACCGAATATCGAGGCTGCAATCACCGTTTGTTGTCTTCCAGGATCCCAGATACTTGAAACTGCTCACCTCTGAAATTCGTTCTCCGTCGACCACAAGGGGCGTTGGAGCAGTATCGTTTGCACCAGCAGTACAGGTTCCGATATGCATGATCTTGGTTTTGGACAGATTCAGCGACAGGCCCTTCTCTCTTCCAGCGTCATTAACAGCATTGGTGAGGGTAGACACTTCTGATGGATGTGCACACAACCCCGTGTCATCTGCATATCGTAGGTTCGATAGCCGGCGTCCTCCGATTCTCACACCGATACTGTCCACATCAGCAACACGCATAACACTCTCAGTGTACAGGCTAAATAGATGTGGGGACAAAATACAGCCCTGCCGAACACCCTTCTTGATGGCGAGCTCCGGCGAATGCGAGCCATTCCATCTGATAACTCCGCTCATCCCTGTGTAAAGATTCTGAAGCAAACAAACTATGTGGCGAGGGAAACCAAATTCCAAAAGGCAACCGAAAAGATATGAGTGGTTAACTGTGTCAAAGGCTTTACGATAATCGATAAGCTGTACTTATGGTTGATAAATATGGTGGTAAAGACACACCTGGCAATATGGCGGTAAACACACACCTGCCCACACACGCTCTCTAGGCTGCAAAGTTCTGGCACAGAGCTCTCCTTCTCACCACCACCACCATCAGTTCGCGCCTGGTGCCTGGCCGATGCATGGCTGGCGGTATCCGGCATAGCAGGCTGGTACATCAAGTAGCGCATGGCACATAGATGATGACACAGCAACGACATAGCTCGATTGCGACGTACGTTTCGTCCCCGCTGGACTCCAGCCTGCTATGCCGGATACCGCCAGCCATGCATCGACCAGGCGCCAGGCGCGAACTGATGGTGGTGGTGGTGAGAAGGAGAGCTCTGTGCCAGAACTTTGCAGCCTAGAGAGCGTGTGCGGGCAGGCGTGTGTTTACCGCCATATTGCTAGGTGTGTCTTTACCACCATATTAATCAACCATAAGTACAGCTGCAGTGGTGTCTTCAATTTCATTCTCCCGAGTTAAGCTCCGTATGAAGACATCCAAGAAGAAGATTGCCTGATGAGTCCAGCGGGGACGAAACGTACGTCGCAATCGAGCTATGTCGTTGCTGTGTCATCATCTATGTGCCATGCGCTACTTGATGTACCAGCCTGCTATGCCGGATACCTCCAGCCATGCATCGACCAGGCGCCAGGCGCGAACTGATGGTGGTGGTGGTGGTGAGAAGGAGAGCTCTGTGCCAGAACTTTGCAGCCTAGAGAGCGTGTGTGGGCAGGCGTGTGTTTACCGCCATATTGCCAGGTGTGTCTTTACCACCATATTTATCAACCATAAGTAATGTTTTATCTTTTCTATGTTGATCTCTAGGCTAGCATGCATGGACACCTTGATATGGGAATACTCATGTAACATGTTGTTGCACTTATGGCCACTTGCAAGTACGAAAAAGGCACAATTTTCCGAACTTTGAGGCTCCATAACTTGCATAAGTACAACAAAGTGAATATGAATCCCCGCATCCCAAAGCATAATAGGAGGACCTTGCGAGCAACCCCCCCCCCCCCATGAAAGCATAATTCCATGATTTCACGTGCAAAATCCGCCGAAGCCTAGCATTCACACGCGTTAGGGAAGCCAAAGAAACACCACCTACTACCTGACGCATTCACCTCTCTCTTCACAGACCCAACTACGTGATGTTAGTACTAGTACTACGCTGCTGCAATCAGTGAATTCAACTAAAGCAACTGGAAGCGATGGTATACCAACTGTCCTTCTCCGTTTGTGTGGGGATACCCTGGCCCCATCGCTGACTTTGCTGTTCAACAGATCACTGAGGGAGGGGAAATTCCCAGAATCAATGAAAAGGGCATGCATCCGCCCACTGTTCAAAGCCGGTGACCCCAGCCAACCTAATAACTATAGACCAGTTTCCCTACTCCCTGTGGTCTCCAAGATCCTTGAACGGATTGTTCATGAGCAACTGTCTGATTTTCTGGAGAGCCAAGATCTTCTACCAATGGAACAATTTGGTATTCGTAGCCACCACTCCACCTCTGATGCCCTAGTGTTAACGGTAGAGCAAATTCAACAGGCACAAGTGGCACGCCTCTACACTGGAGTCGCTTTTGTAGACATGTCGAAAGCCTTCGACAAAGTGCCGCATCAGACTCTAGTTGGCCCAAGCAAAAGTGCTGCCTACGCAAGTAGCTGTGGTGTTCCGCAAGGATCAGTGCTGGGTCAATTGCTCTTGGTTGTGTATGTTCGAGATATGCCTCATATGGTGAGGCCATACGGTGTTACCCCAACACAGTTTGCAGATGACATCTCATTACGAGCCAGTGCCGAGACACCGGCAATTGTTGCTCAGCGACTGTCCGGTGCAGTACAACACCTGTCTGACTGGCTACGACAGCTTGGCTTAATTCTGAATGAAACGAAAACACAAATCCTACCAATCCCTCCTCACAGATCACCACCCTTTGCCCTACGCGTGACATGCAATAGTTAAGATCTGCCGGTGGTACCATCGGCCAAGTATCTAGGCTTACATTTTGACACGTCAATGTGCTGGCAGACAATGGTTCAACGTTTTGCTATCAGGGTTTCTGCTAAAATAGCTGTCTTAGTCCGCCATGCTGCATCTTTACCCCTCTCATGTCGTATCTGCTACTTCAAATGCTTTGTGCTGCCTGAGTTTTTGTATACATCCAATGCTTATGTCCCATATCTATCTGTTCACCAGGAGCTCCGTCTGGAAAGGCTCTTCAAGCGCGCACTGCGTTCTGTATGTAAAGTGCCCCCATGGACTCCCACCGTTACGCTGCTTGAGCGTGTACATGTCTCTCCCTTGCGCGCTACCATTCTACTTAACTTGCTCTGCTTTATATGGCGTTGTCTAAATTCTTCAGGAAGTGGATTGTTTGAAACTTTTTTTCGACCTCTTTCGTCACGAAGAAGTCGAGGAGGCAACAGTAACCTGCTTATCGTCCATGCCGCTGCTTCTGCACATTCTACCAAATTGGTGACACATGCTGGCGCAGTTCTCTGGAATTCCCTCCATGCGGATATCCAAGGCGTCACCAAACTGGCCGCCTTCAAGTCAAGTGCTTTGCAACACATCCTTGCCTACTTTTACCTTTTAGCTTTACGCCCATGTTTCTGTAGCTGTGCCGGAACTGCTCTATTTCGCCTTCAAGTCAAGTGCTTTGCAACACATTCTTGCTTGCTTTTAGCTTTACGCCTATGTTTCTGTAGCTGTGCTGGAACTGCTCTATTTCGCCGCCACTATTTACAATTAGCCATGTCTCCCCCCCCCCCTCCTCCACCACCCTACACAGTGGGTGCATTATTATTAGGCATCTGCCTGTTTTGGTTTCTCCACTATAAATAAAAGAATACTACTATACTACTACTAGGTGTTGTTGTTGTTTGTTGTTTATTTAGACTCGAAGAACAAACAGGCAAATGTGTAGAATAGATTTCCTTGGAACAGGCTGTCTAAACAGGGTATTGCTACTGGACTTCACCCACGATATGAACTGAGATGGTGAGCAGGAGTCAAGCAAACAGAAGACAGCGAAATACATAGAGCAGCTAACATTCTCGCTCCACGTACACCGACATAACGACATGGACCCAGACAACAGAGGCAGGAGCACACAGAGTGAGGGTAGTAGGCCGCAGCCAGATGTGAACCGGAATGCAGAAGAAAACATAACATAAAATAATAGGCCAGGACAACGACCACTTGGGACCGTCAGATTAATTTTTCTGGACCGACCCAGCCGGGAAAAAACCCTCGCGCCGACGGACGCACGAATGAAGGAAAAAACCGGGTGTATAACCCCAAGTGGCAACATGGCAGCATAAAAACAGGCACAACATATCTACAGCCAAGAAAGGAAGGGAAGAAGATGGGCAGATATGAAGGGTGGGAGGGTGGGGACACTGTTGAGACACAAACAACTGACTGAAGAAGTCGAGCAAAAAGAACAGCAACAAAAAGAGAAAACATCAGATTCCATATTCGCAAAAGAAATAATTTTGTTGCGTGAGAAATCATTTCTTGGCTTACTCGCTCCGCTCGACCGGAGAGAAATATAACTTTACAGAAATAATGCGTTAAATGTTTCGAGGGGCAGATGTACATCATAGCAACACAAGTGATCAGTGATATTAATGACCAAATCCCAGTCAACTAGCTCGGCATACTCTGCAAAATAATCCAATAGATCCTTTTGGCTGGCTCTGTTCTCGCTGTGGTCAGGACTCAACACGGTTCTCAGATGCTCGCCCAAACCTGAGTAAAAATACCTCCAACCCTTTTCCGTTGTGAACACCTGGGCATCACTGACTTTGCGGTACTCCAGGCAAACCTCGAAGTAGTCCTCAAGAGACATATCTAGCTGATTAACAATGTAAAGCTGCAAGGCGGAATGCCACTGACTCACTTTACATGCCATGCGAACATCAACAGGGTCATTACTTCCTGGAAACGCCACGCCCAGGCATCCCAGTGCTTCGGGGAATTTTCCAACAGTCGCGGACAATACGTTGGCTACTTCCACTAATCTTTGTTCGCGATAGTGGTATCGAAGCATTGGAAGGACCCGCCAAGTGAAACTCATCATCTTTTCGATTACCTCCGTCTGATAGGCTTCCACGGAACCACAGCGCTGAACTGATAAGTTTTTCAGGTTGCTGAGATGACACCAATCGTAGCAGATCCGTGCATTACCTGTCACATCAGAACGGGGCGGGGGGTACTCTTGCTCTATGTCAATCTTCTCCAGTTTTGGCAGGCCTTCCACTACAATATTTAGAATAGAGCAGTCCAGAGAGTCGTGATTACAGATAATTCTGGCGTAGTCCTCCCCTTGCTTTTTCAACGATTCCATTTTGGCAGAGAGCAATGGAAGAGCCAGGTCCAGGACTTTTTTTGGACGCGGCATGTGATTATATTTCCTTGGAGGTAGAAGGTGGTAGATTCGGCTGCACGTGGAGATATCTAATCTCATGGTTGTTGTGACCGCAAACAATGTTTTGCTGATATCGATGTACGATAAATCCAACAATGGGCTGATGCCATAGCGACGCTGTGCATGTAAGATAAACAGGAGAGAGATGAACCATAGCAATCATAATCCACCAAACACCATATTGAAACATAGTGCTCATTTTACAGTCGGGTCTAACTAATGTAGCCATAACTGTAACACTGAAAATCATCATTTTCTTTTGTGTATGCATACAATATTGATGTGCAGGACATGGTCAGATGTGGTAGAGTCGGATGTTTCCGTGTTTGGATGTTTCATTAATGTCTTTATAGACTAAATATCAGCGGACATGTCCACATTTCCGGGGATGGACATTTTTAGCCCACTTTGACAGTTTGGTCCCAAAGTCCATCGTTTCTTGAATACCAGTCAAAGTCAAGAAATCGACTAAACTACTCACTGAAACAAGATTCAACAACAACTGTACAGCGCAGCCAAACCAACTGTGTTCGCACACCAATCCCATTTCCCTTGTAATATTTGGCCATCCAACTTTGTAATGTACGGTGAATGAGGTCCACCCAGAGATGAAAGAAGCCTCGCTGACTTCAAATGAAGTCGAAAATTTGGCCAGGTTCGGTGATATGAAATTGTGGTCATTACAGACATCGACTCTTTTGTAGCAGTTTATTCACAGGAATATGTCAGGTAAATTATCAGTCTATCCAACATACCATGTTGCGAGAATATACATAATGGTATTTAACTCCCGGTGCCGAAAGGCGGGCTCATGCCCTGACATGGCTACTTCCCCTTGTCTAGCCCCCAAGACAAAAATGATAGTAGCCGACTGGCCGAAATTAAAAATAAATAAATAATGGTATTTCGCCCAGCAATAACATTACCTAAATTCCCTTACAGGATTTGTTGTGCAAAGAGTCGTTCATGTGATTTCTTTCGCCTATTCTACCTACAGTACATGTAAATGTAGATCAAGAGAAGATGTTATGGCAGGTTCAAATAATTGATTCACACCAGCCTACTATTTGCACTACCACTTCACATGTCCAGTTAACTCTATTTTACAAGTATTTTCAACTTTGACAATTTGCCTAGCCCTGATCTTTGCACCTCAGGTGCGCATGATGCTTTCCTTTTCGCTACAAAAGCGTGATGGCTATTTTATAGCCATTCAACAATATCAAACTCTCATCGACGAGAGTTTATCATTCGAAACAGCTGTATGCACAATGTGGGAACTCAGTAACAACCAATGTGTCGCATTGCTGATGGGGTGCTGTGGCAACGTGTCGATATCAGCTTTGTGCGCGCAGATTTGGAGGGATGGTTGATAGAGAATAAACTTTAGAAGGCCAAAGCCTGCTACTTATCCTTAAAAATCAAATCGTTCATATATAGGTGGTGAACATATTTGCATATCACCTTTCATTAAACCCTTAAGCCTACTATGGAAAGTGTGAAGCAGGGTTACTGTGAATTTGTACAGCTTTGTTGGCGGTGACGTAATAATGAAACGTAGGCTAGCTGGATGTGATTCTAATAATTTGTATTGCAAGCAACACCAAATTCGAGAGCGCTGTAACTGATGCCATCATTTCTGGCTAGTGTACGTGCTGTCATTCCTCTCACACACAGTACTCGTACTCACCACACAGAGAAGCTTGAATGTCTGCTCCGTCATCAACCGTTCTCGTAGGTTCCGCGACACGCCGCAAAGGCGAAACATTGACCTGACATCAAGGAGAGGTAGAAGTGATGAGATCCACACATCGTACAAGAGACTGTGGAGATTGCCCGAGCTTTGGCACACTAACTCGTGATGCATATCTGCTGTGTTCTCATCTTCCAGATCGGACACGACCGTGGAGCGTACTACATCACCCTGATCATTGCTATCTGAAACGGGCCCAGGCTGATGACAATCCGTCTCGGTGTGGCTTTCTGAGAACTGACGTAGACCAACAGGACGCCCCCGAAGACTGTAGGGCAGGTGAACATTGTCTTCTTCCACCTGTTCTTCCCAGGAACTTTGAACGGTTCTAAACATGCCATGAAAACAAGAGTAAAAAAGGATGAACATAGAGTTGACAGTTGAGCGTTAAGTCACCACTCTCTGACAGTGGCCAACAATACCAAGAAAATTTCAACCTAGGCCTCCGTGTTTGCCAGTCGTGGTCAGTGCAATTGCATCTTTACTCTTGTATTAATCTACACAACCCCCACCCACCCCCACCCCCCCCCCTCACACACACATCCGCAGTCAAGTATAGGCACTTTAGTAACCGAACGTTTTCAATTCCCTGTGACGTATAGTGTTAGGTCCGATCTCTCCTTTGGCTTCTAGCTCTTTAAGTTGCTGTATTCGACATATTCCAATAATTATTCCATGGTGAGAAGGGAACGAACAACGCTCAGTTACTAAATCGGCTTTACTTGACTGTGTGGATTGCGTCGGCTCTGACACTTCTTTCCACATTGGACACACCTTTCATTCGGTGCAGGATTTCATTTACTCTGCTGCGTTCTTGCATTGTTTTGTTTGTGTGTCTCTTGTCTTAGGCATCGTGCTGCTGCTAATGAGGAATCCCACACTCTGGCAGTGTCGAAGCCCACATCTCGCGAGATTAGTTGCCATTTCTCGCTTCACTCCTGTGCGTTTGTTGCTTATCGTGTTCTTGTCTGTATTCAATCTGTTTGGTCCATTTTCTTTAACTTAAATTTGGGAACACAACCCCTCGGCCTCCATGCTGTGTGATCAGTCGAGTTGAGTGGACATCAGATACGCCTTCAATTGTTTCCTTAAATGATAACACAATATTTATGTTTGTCACGAGCTGAATTTAGGCAGACAGCCAGTTACACAAATAGAGTTAACAAGACTCACCTCTTCTTCATCTTCCAAATATCAGGCCTTTGGCGGCAGCAGTTGTACCCCAATCCGCAAACCTGATCAACCTAGAGCAAGCCAAACAACACACAAATTCATATTAAAAATGTAGCCAGTAGAGTTTGGGTTACACACTAAAGGAGTACGTTGACAAATAGATTATTTTTCGACATTGTCTTCATCTAGGCATCCCTCTATTTGATAGGGCTGGTGATTGCTTGGCGTGCCTTGGTGCCATAACGCGTACATTTACTGAAAAGTCCTTGCTCCGTAGATTAGCGAAAGCAACTTATCAATCAGAAGCATAAAGGGACTCATCTTACGATTGTGTTCGGGATGCTTCGTTCTGCACCAACGGACTGCTGTCGGAGCTTCTTGCATTCCAAAGTACAGAGAAGCTGAGCACCGATGTAATGCACACACTAGTGCTGCGGCTGTTTCCTCAGCGGGGAGCAGTCGTCAGTGTAAAAACATTCCATCTCCATCTCCACCGCTTGAAGGAAACGAAGACGAAGCTCCGTAAGGTCAGCGAAGCGTTCGCCAGAATCCCTTGATGCGTACCTAAATAGTGTATTTAGTCTGCATTCTGGAGCTGCAACAAGTGCTGCGCAGGAAGAGGAAGAGTCTGGTGAGCAGCCAGGAGAGGCCAGTGGCAGTGTGACGTCAGCATCGAGTGTGCCTTTGGTTGGTGTTGCAACATCAGTGATCTCACGTACCTCTGACCCTGTCACATCTTCTGTCAATTTTCAACTTGCTGCTGAAGTGTCCAGTCTGTCGGACACTGTCGAGAAGCTTCGAGCCAACAAGTCCAGACTGCATAACGTCCGTAGACGTTTACACCGCGAGGAAAGCAAATCAGAGGTGTTGGAAGAAGAAGCAGATGTAGAGCTACACGAGTTGAAAGAAAGCCAACAGGCGCTCCTGAATAAGCATTACCAGAAGGAGCACCAAATGAGAAAGAAACTTGTGGATGCTGACTCTGCGATCGCTTGCTTGCAAGATGAGGTGGAACTCCTAAACAAACGACTATCTGCGTCGGAGAAGGAGAATGTTGCACTGCGCAGTGAGGTGTCATCTCTGCATGCCGATTCATCCGATGGAGACATTGAAACGATGGCAGGCGGAACATACTTGCCACATGACCGGCAATGCTGCCTGGAGTTGCTGGCCAGTAATGTTGGCATTTTCAATGTCAGGAAAGTGATTAACAGCGTTCTCGCCCTGGCTGGCAAACGGGCAGACCATCTTCCATCGCATGGAACACTCTCTCAGCTTTATGTTAAAGGGGAAGTTAAGGCAAAAATTAAAATTTCACCAGTTGTAGTCTTCGGGGTGCTGAGTCGAATGGTCGTGGTCCGAGGAAGCTGAGACGCTCCCTTCCTACTTGAATCCCAATCGAACTCGCGCACTTCCACCGAAACTGGGTGACTGCGCCCTACTAGATGGGGATTTGTATGCAAAATGTCGATTGAAGTTCGAAGTTCGATTGGGATTCAAGTAGGAAGGGAGCGTCTCAGCTTTCTCGGACCAAGACCATTCGACTCAGCACCCTGAAGACTACAACTGGTGAAATTTTAATTTTTGCCTTAACTTCCCCTTTATGCTGAATGGTGTGGCCAGTCTCCAGTTAGCTGAGGAGTTGGAAGGAGAGGAGAACACCACCCTCCATAGCGACGGGACTAGCAGACATGGTCGGAAGTATGGCTCGTTCCAGATCGCCACCAGCCAACGAGTCTACAGCCTTGGTATGGTCGACATGGAGAGAGGCACGGCCGTCCATACCTTGGAAATGCTGAAAGCTGTGCTGGCAGATGTTGCCAAAGTATTTAGCGACTCAGAAGGTATTGGCGGGGCAGATGTTGCCAAAGTATCTAGCGACTCAGAAGGTATTGGCGAACGTATCGTGTCTAACATTAAGAACACCATGAGCGACAGAAGCATCGTGCAGAAAAACTTCAAGGAGCTGCTTCAGGCGTACCGGGCCGAGGTATTGCCAGACGTGCATGCCAGCTGGTCTTCATGTCGGATGCTCAGCAAAAGCAGCTTTCCGTCATGACTTTTTCTTTTGTGGTTTTGCACTACATTGTTGGTCTCGCAGACCAGGCAGATGCCTTGCAGAAGAAGTGGGAGGAAGTCCACTTTGATGGAGAGAAAGTTGGAGCTGGTGTGCTGTCTGGTGCTTGGGATTCAAGCCACAGTTCTACCAACCGCCTAATCTACTCTGCAACCAAGGCTTTTGCAGAGCATGGTGACGAGGCAGCAGGTTGCATTGCGGATTTTAAGGCCTTCCTTGAGAGTGTGGATCTCAAAGCTCCGCTATCTGATTTCCGTGGCAACCGCAACTGCGTGATCTTCCACAATGGTGCAGGAGTTTTATATCTTCACGAGATCATGTTGGAATTCCTGGTCGACGTGTATGGCGAGACGAACCGCTTGCTGAAAGACGTCAAGGCAGACCTCTGCGTACCTGAGCTTATTGCTGGCTGCCGAGCTCTTGGCTTGATCAGCAAATTTGTCATCTCACCTCTCGGGTTGCCCTGGAAGATAAAGACAGGAGCATTTTCGACATGAGCACTATCTACACTGAGCTTGTAGACAACATGCAGACATGGAGTGTGGATGCGGAACCTGTCCTTGAGGGCTCTTGCAAAGCCTTCTCAGCAGCCAAGGTGGACAGGATGGACCCAGTGCTGAGTAAGCTGCTGGAGCCCGTGGACACAGATGGCGTGACCTGAGAAATACTGCAGATGCTCTTCGCATGCTTTCACATCTACTCAACCCGTCTACTCGCTGAGCACCTGCCTGGCGGCAACTTTCACCAACCCACAGCGCTTTGCTCACCGAAACCGCTTCAGTTCGTAAGACGAATGCAATTTCGGAGAGCGATTTCGGCAAACTGGACCAGTATCTGCGTGAGAAGCCGAACATCGACACCGTTGCTCTGGAAGGCTTGCTCATGTTCAGCAACAACAAGACAGCAGCCTGGCTTCAGCAGAAAACAGCACGGGAAAGAGATGCAATGGCGGAGACGGCCCGTCGTGCAGCACCAGAGTTTCGGCAGCAGTTCAAGATACGCCAGAAGGAAATCCAGAAAGTTCGGCTTCAGCGCTTGAAAGAGAAGGAGGCAGACATTACCAAGAAGAGAGAACAAGAGAGGAAACGAAAAGAAACGCTGACAACCGAAATCACTGCTCTTGGAGGGATGTGGACATCTAAGGAAATGGTTACGGAAGAACTGTCGAAAGTGTCACCCTTACGGACAAGCTCCAGGCCCTACGTCAGCAGCTGTACTTTCGCAAGTACGTGTTGCTCCAGAAAGCCTCAACGTCTATATACGCACTCTCCACAGGCGGAAAACAGTTGTCAATTGATGAGATGCTGGACAACCTGGTGACCTTGTTCTCATGATTTCAGCCTTCTTCAGTACATCCATTTTCTTGGAACTTCGTAGTCTGTTGCTGCAATTACACTTGTTTGCCTGCATGTTGAATGCAAGTTCCACCCAGATGTATTTTATAATGTCTAATGTTCGTCTGGAAGCCATACACAGCACTTCTACAATGCTTTGAAGCTGTTGCAATGTGGTTGCTATGCGGTGTCCATGGCAACCGTGATCGGGGTCGCCAAAACATTGTTCATTTCCATTTTCCGTTGGTATGATGTGTAAGTGAGACATTCGCTCTGCTTTAGAGTGCTGTTTACAAGTATATCTTGCACTTTACTTTTTGCAACTATGTCCACTGAAATACTTCAGGGGTACCCAAAAATACCACGAATTGTACTAAATTCACCTTATGAAACTGTCTGTCTTTGATCGTTTATATCTTCGGTATGGAGGGGAATTTCCTACCGACATTTTTGGTGCATGGTCAAAACGAACGGCTTTGTCGGATTCCCAAGTGAAACAGCTGGTTTTCACATTCTGAAAACCCCGCTTAAGTGCCTAGTTCAAGCCTTCAAGGGTTCGCACCCTGCCTGAAAGGATTGGGCAGCTTTTTAGGCTTCCCGCCAGATTATTGTTGTTGTCTTGGAACCTTCTACTTCCTCCGTATACAAAAACTTCGTGACTTTTCTTCAACGTTGTTTTGGAGCAAGAACCTACTCAACGAACCGCGCCAAAGCCTGTCATCGACAACTCACATTCATATCGAGGAAAGTATATTTAGTTTGGTTGATCCCTGCACTGCTAGATGAAGCATTTCAGTCGTCGTGCAACCAGCGCAGACTGATCGGAATGTCAACGACCTTTCTTCACCTCTCTCCAGTCAGACGTCTCCTTTGTTGCCAAGGGGAATCGCAGGGACCTCTGCGAAGCCATCGTAGAATGCTGGGAGGATTATCCTGCCGAGAAAATGCGAAAGGCTTGGATGTGCTTGTACGACTCGTTTCACGGCATAATGGAGGTCGCGGGGTGGAACGACTGGATATAGTCGACACCGATTTGTTCACAGCTCTGGAGATGAAGATGAGGTAGCCAAAGTCCTGCATCTGATCATCACTGCAGCTGACAAGAAGCTGAACGACATGGGAGCGGAAGCAGCGACTGTTGGCGATGCGGAGTCAGCGTCGTCAGGTGACAATGACACGAGCGACGAAGACTCAGAATAAACTCAATCTTATTGGTCCACAATCAATAAAACTAGCTGAACCGACATTTGTGTACTTTATTCATGCAATGTAAAAACGGTGGAGACGATGTGCAGTAAAACGATGAAAATATGAAGAAATGGTGTAGAGAAAAAATATGGATTCAAACAAGTTTTCGTACAACACTCATCAGGAATCGTCGTTGTGCGCTTTGATTGTTAAAATTCACACTTGTAAATTTCACTCCTGTTGCTCTTAGTGTTATTTCTCTAACTTAGATTTTCTATAATAGTTCAATTTTTGTTTCAGTGTCCTTTAGTACAACGACGATTCCTGATGAGTGTTGTACGAAAACTTGTTTGAATCCATACTTTTTCTCTACACCATTTCTTCATATTTTCATCGTTTTATTGCACATCGTCTCCACCGTTTTTACATTGCATGAATAAAGTACATAAATGTCGGTTCAGCTAGTTTTATTGATTGCGGTTATCAACTTATAAATAAGGTCCAATTAATAATTGCTTTTTTTCTTTGTATAGCTTGTAAACAGGTCAGACAATGCCACGGGTGTTATTCCAAGTCAAACGGAGTAATTCCAGAGCTGTGCGCAGCTTTAAAGAAAGTCACGACGTTTTTATACGGAGGAAGTATGTAAATGTGACTTATAGGCTGTTTTGTACCTAGTCTGAAGAGGGCCTAAGATCAGTGTACAAACATTCGTAACTCCGTCAAAAAATAAGTCTATCGCAACTTTGCCTTCATGCGAAAAAAAGTACCAACAACGGGAAAATGCAGCAAAATAAGTAGAAGCAAATGTTAAAGGAAGGTCCACCTTACCGTCTGTGGTAGTGAGAGTCTTCGATCCGTCTAGGTGAGCTTCTGCCGAGTATATGCAGCCTTGTAGCTCGACAAGAATTTGGCTTTCAGCTACGACAACAGCTGTATTCACCTAGCTACTTTGTGACCACAAGCACAACACCATCAGCATATCTAGAGAAGAAGCGAAGAAATATGTCCACTGGCAAAGCAAACCTCGGATACTAGTACTAGACCATTGTAGTGTTAGCTAGCGCGACACGAATTACGCGAAGCAACTGAAACATATTATTAATCGAAGGCTAGATTTTATACATAGCTAGCCTTCGAACATTATTATGCGTGTCAGTTCGAATGCAAGCTTGCCTTGAGTTGAGAGCACTGACTCGGAGTGCACCCGCCGCAGTAGATCTAGGTGTACTGCTTCTTGCGCGCTCTGAATGAGTGTGGGAGTCTAATGACGTGAAAAACACGTCACGCAACTGTGTAGGAGTATGGTTCAGACAAGGCCCACGTCATCTATTTTTGCTCTAGTTATGTCACATGTACACTTACACGCACAGCATCAGCCGGCGGCATGAATTGAAGGTATACAAAGCAAGACACGTATAGCATAGCATAGTATAGGGGAGGTGGTGGTCGGGGACGTGTTGTTCTCAGCTTGTGAGTTTCAGCTCCTTGCGCTTCTAGCTCCCCTATTATTATACAGTAGTCATTGTACGTACTTATGATAATGACCTGCAGTCTGCACGTAATACATGTTGTGGATTATGGTTCAGACAAGGCCCACCTCACCTATTTTTGCTCTAGCCTCTTTAGCACGCATCACGTAAATGTACGTGATCCTGGATGCTACCGGTCCACGGATCACGTACATATACGTGATACGATCTACATCACGTCGTACAGTTCAGTTGTTTTGGCTTCCGTGTAGTACTAGTAGTAGATCTACCAGGCCTGTACTGTAGATCTACCGTGGTCCCGCGGAGCTAGGCCTGTTCAGGAGACGTATCACGACAAGTACACGTGGAGTTCGCCACGTATCACGGCAAGAGTAGGTCGCGCAGTGCGGAAATAAATCAGAAATAAATTTGTTGACAATTTGTTGACATTTTCAACCATGGCACGACGTAGATACAGCGCAGAGGAGATCGACCAAGTTTTAGAGCAGGTCACGCTGAGTTTGGATAGCGATAATGAGCCAACTGTCTCTGAGAGCGATTTTTCGTCGGCAGATGAGTCTGTGTCTTCATCTCCTGAACGAAGTGCGTCGCCAGAAATTGGCGATGCTGCTGACGATGTTGAGGGGATGGAGAGCACGGAAGCAGCAGCAACAGGTGGTACGGAGGACACCAGTGCTGGCGACGAGGCCATGTCCTTGAAGTCGCATGTGGAAGCTGTCGAGGTTCTAGCTGCAGGTGACGATGGAAGCGAAGGTGAGTTGGGTGCATTTACAATTTGAAAATTTCACTAATTTTGAATTTTGAAATTTCAAATATTCATGCATTGTTGCATGCTGTTGACTATATTTTTGCAAAGGTGGGCTAACTTAGTGGTATTTTGAATTGCAGATATTTTGTGCCCGTTCTAGCATGTCACTGTTGATGTTATGGACACCAAGTACTGAAGTACAAATAAATATGCAACAGATATGTGAATTGATACTGAAATACACATTTTCTGCACATTGTGATTACATGCATCCAGGCATATGGGTGAAGCAGAGTATTGCACCTACCGCACTGCCATTCACTGGCAACTCCGGTCTCCAAATGCCGCTTCCAGACCATCCAACTCCACTTGACTACCTGAAATTGTTCTTCCACGAAGATTTCTTTGAGTATCTTGTGACGGAAACCAATCGCTATGCACGCGCATTTATCGATGCCAACCTACATACTCTGCCGGCTCGCAGTTTTGCCCGCTCGTGGAAGCCAGTTGTTGTTGGAGAGATGAAAGTTTTCCTGGGACTCTACCTCAACATGGGCATTGTCAACAAGCCGGAGATTGACCAGTACTGGGCAACTGACCCTGTGATAGCCACACCATTCTACAACCGCACCATGAGCCGCGAGCGTTTTACATCAATTCTCAATTTCCTTCACTTTGCCAACAACGATGAAGTTGACGAATCTGACAAATTGACCAAGATCCGGCCCTTGGTGACTTTCCTCCAAAACCGTTTTCAGCAAGTGTATGTGCCGAAGGAGTGGGTGTGCATTGACGAGGAGCTGGTGGCATGGAAGGGCCGTATTTCATTCCGCCAGTACATTCCATCGAAACGAGCACGGTTCGGAATGAAGATATACGCCCTGTGTGAGGACAGCGGTTATCTCCACAATTTCATCATTTACACGGGCAAAGACAACGACACTTTCAGCCCGGACACGGTGAAGAAGCTTGGAGTGCCTGGTGCCGTTGTCGACAAGCTGATGGACCCGCTACTCGGCAAGTGCTACAAGCTCTTCGTCGACAACTGGTACTCCAGCGTGCCACTCGCTACTCACTTGGCTGAGCACAACACCGGCGTCTGCGGCACTGTTCGCAAGAACAGGACTGGCCTTCCAAAGCAGGTGGCAAAGCACAAGGGCCTCCAGAAAGGCCAGTTCCTGTATCGCTGTGGCGGTGGCATGATTTTCATCAAGCTACATGACACGAAAGAGGTACATTTCCTCTCCACGCTCCACACAGCCACGGTCAGTGCAACTGGCAAGCGCGATCTCCAGCGCCGGCCGGTACGGAAGCTTGATTTGGTGCAGGATTACAATAAGAAGATGGGTGGTGTGGACAAAAACGACGGGATGATTTCGGTGTACACTGCTGCTCGGAAAACCAGAAAATGGTATAAAAAACTGGCCACGCACCTGATGGAGCAGGCCCTGCTAAACGCATACTATCTGCACAAGATGAAGGTGAAGATGTCGCATTATGACTTCGTGAAGGCAGCCATCAAGAGTTTGATAGCAGAGGGCAAGTTGGAGATCACAGAGCACACCACAGCTGTGGCTGCTGCAGCCGGTACCGCAAAGCCACTCGACACTCACTTTCTACGGCTCATCCCAGCGACTGCCAAGAAGGAGAAGCCGCAGAAGATGTGTGTGTTCTGCTATGCCAACGGGAAACGCCGAGATGTGCGGCAGATGTGTGCTGATTGCCCGAAGAACCCAGGGTATTGCCTTGAGTGCTTCGAGACATCGCACCGAGGAAAGTAGCTGTTCCACAATTGCCGAGTGGTTCCTAAACGCAAATTTGTTCGAGTTTGCGGACATGTAGCGTGTCCTAAACCGCTGTAAATATGTACATATAGAGGGTGAACCATGAGTATACATTTTATATTTTATCATTCTGACTAGCAGTTGTTGATACCTGTAGCTAGAAGCGATACTGCATGCAGTAAACCCTGTAATAGCTGTCCTACTTTTATAGATGTGCTGGAAATACGTAAATTTGCTGCGCTGATTTGCATTGAAATCTGTGCAGTAGGGTATGTTCACACCGACTTTACTGCTGAAATAAGTCATCACAATGATAAATGCACATTGTTAGGTGAAATTCACAAGCTAGAATCGAATTTTAGAAAAAAGTGAAATTTAATGAAAAACGGCCCGCGGGCCAGGTACAAACCCCTGCCGTGCTGAAGAGGCTAGTTATGTCACATGTACACGTAGATCTTCTTACACGCACAGCATCAGCCGACGTCACATGAAGGTACAAAGCGAGACACGTATACCTGGTATACCATAGTATGGTGTACTAGCTGTGCTAGTACTTGTTAGCAACAATCCGAACTAGCGCACACACTGCACTGCATTGCTTTGTACTGCATTCAAGACTGACGTCATGCGCTTTGTTTTGCTGCGTAATCACAAATGGCACCAGCCCATTTTGCGGAAAAGAAAAACAAATCTTGCTTGCCCTGTTGTGCTCGTCCAGACAACGGATCGTGCTTCAGCAGTGTTTCTTTTTTCCTTTCGTAGCTTTGCTGCCAGCCCGAGTGTCACCTCGACACTGTATTTCTCCAGTATGTCTGAGCTGACCTAACTGTCGACACTGTCAAGGCTATGCCTTGCCAAGCCCTCCGCGGCGAGCCTTCTCAGTGCGGCTTGAATCCGAAAGGAAACTTAGTAAAAGTATTTTACAGGACCGTTTGCTGGCACAACTAGCCCTTAGTAGTGAGGTCTGCTCCGGCCAGGAGAACCAGCAACATGACAGTGTGGACACGGCTCGCGAGCCCAGAAGCCCGACTTGCCCCAATGCCTCCTCCGCCAGCTCAGTTGACGCGGGCTCAACGGATCTCTGCGCTCTCGTACGGGACGAGGTGTAGTCGGCTTTGTCGGCCGACATTATTATTATCGGAGAGCATTGTGCCGCTCCTCACCCAAGGCCAAGGCAATGCGGCTGCTGCCGCCACTACGCCAGGCCAAGCTCCTGTAACCCACTCGATCAGCCACCTGCACCAGCTGTGCCCAAGGCTGCGCAAGAACGTATCTTGCGAGGGGAGTTCGTAGATTTTTCAAGTTTGTTGCTTGAAATTCTTGCACACTTCCGGCCCAACATTCCGGCTGGTGCACAGCCCGAATGACGATAGCCAGCTAAATGTCGTTGAGTCGGATGACGCGAAGCAGGTGCGTCGCAAGGTTCACGATAATTATCATCAGCTACTCGGCTCAAGGCATGGACCACATACATGTCTGTTATCATTGCTGCTGCCCTACACCGCACTGCTGAACTGCTGAACTGATTGCGTACCAGCAGTTGATCCTGACCGCTAACCGCCAGTTCTTCCCAAGCGCGGGGCTAGAGTACGACCGCCAGCTGCGGATGCTCGTGGCCCAGTAACCATGCACGAAGAGGTTGGACACCATCGACGTGAACCTATGGCAGATACATGTAGCTGTCACAGGCCATGCACACCCAAAATGCGCTCAATGTAAGACGGTCCATCCAGGGGCGGTTTGTGTCCGTTTCGTCCCCAAGCCAGCAGCATTTACCTCCAGGGGTCGCAACCATACCAGCGACGGCCAAGAAATCTGCCGCAACTTCAATGGAGGTCGCTGTTTTTCGTCGTCGTGCCGCTTCTCCCACACCTGCAGCCAGTGTGGCAAGGACCACCCATGCATCATGTAAAACCAGCAGCAGCGCGGAGCCAATCGGCCACCCCGCCGCTCCTAGCAGAATGGCTACTGAATCGCTTGACTCGGTACGTAGCTTCTTTCCTATACACTCTGCAGACACCACACCGCTAGCTGACCACTTTGCCCGCCTGTTACGTAACCACTCAGATCAATCATGTGTTGCGTATGTTCTCCATGGCCTGCGCCGTGGCTTTACTCTTGGATCTGCCGGCCAACACGACATTTCGGTTTTCTCTAATAATCTACCCTTGGCTTTCACTCACGCGGCATTTATATCCGAGCAATTAGCTGCTTCCTGCGCCCGCAGCGAGACCACAGGCCCATTTCCGTCACCTCCATTTCAGTTCATGCGCCGCTCTGGTATTGGTGCCATCCCCAAAACGAACGGCAAGCTGCGAATGATCCACCATCTGTCTAGTCCGGAAGGCACCGGCGCGAACGACAGCATTCCTGCCGAGCCGCTCTCTCTGCACTACGCGAGCACTGACAACGCGATCAACATCATCATGTCATGCCCACAGCCTGTGTATTTGTCCACGCTCGATGTACGCAGTGCATTTCGGCAGATCCCAGTCCGCCGTCAGGACTTCGCTGGGAAGGCTCCTACTACTACGAGCGCTTTCTGTCTTTCGGCCTCCGCTCCAGCCCAGCCGTCTTTGACTCAGTAGCCACAGCAGTCAACTGGATCATGCAGCACGAGTTTGCTATAGATCACCGTCTTCATTACCTCGATGACTTTCTCGATATCTCCACTGGTTTGGCTGCAGCCAACCAGCAACTCACCATCCCCCTCTGGGCATTCACGTATCTCGGCACTCCTCTTTGCTCCATCCCAGCTCGAAGGGCCATCACCATCATTGACTTTCCTTGGTATTGTCCTAGACTGCGAGCGCCACGAAGCTCGGCTACCAGAGGACAAGCTGTCCGAGAGCCGTGCGCCACCCATGGCTACTATCAGCGAGCGCAGCATCGGCCAGCGTCAACTCGAGTCCCTCCTGGGGAAGCTCACTTTTGCTGCCCGAGTCATCGTTCCTGGACACACATTCATGCGTGAACTATGATCAGCGTGCCCTGAACTGTATCTGTGTATGCGAGTGCAGTGCATAAAGCCCACCTTGAGAATGGGTTTGCCGGCCCCTTAGTAGATGCGTGGCTTCTGAAGAGGGTGTTGAAGGGCATCCAGCGATGCCATGGTACGGCTGTACTCACCCCTCGCCTTCCTATAACTATGCCAATCCTACGACACATGACGGATGCACGCCGGAAAAGTAGTATCCTGAATGGCCATGACAAGCTGCTCTACCAAGCCGCCATGCTGCTTCTTTGGATTTCTTCGTTGTGCTGAATTCACTAATGGCATCACACGGGGCTGTACTAGCTCCCCTGGTGACGGACGCCTGCAATTCTTCCTGCTTTCATCCAAGACGGACCCATTCGGTAAAGGCGTTACTAGTGACATTGGCCCGTCTGTACCGTCGTACTACCCGGTCCGTGCCATTGTAAGCTACCCATTTGTCACTCGTCGCGAGTGACTGGAGCAACTCTTGTTCGTACTCTCGAACAGACAGCAGCTGACCAGGCAGTCATTCACAGTAACAGTATGGTCTCGTGTCGCTGCGGCCGGTGTACCATCCCAGTCGAACTACTCCGGGCATTCGGTCCACATTGGTGCAGCCACCACCGCTGCTGTGGCTAGTGCCCCCAACTCCTTCTTCCGAGTGGCAGGTCAGTGGAAAGAGCGATGCGTGTCTATGCTACATCCGGACTACAACAAGCGCTAAGCGCCAGCTATCATCCCGGCTTGCTGCCGTGCCATGGATGCCATGATCCCCAACTCGGGTGAGTAATGAGCTACTGAACTCTAGCTGCGCAATGCTTGCCTGTGCTGACATTAATTGACCCTTGCTGTGCGTCAATAGTGCTTAGCTAACGGAGTGCTGGTTTCATGGGTCCACTCTCACAACTGGTGTTATCTAGCTATTTGCTGCGGCTCTGCCTTGCGCTATATTACATCCATTTAGCATTGCAGCTCTACGTTGAGCTAACAGCAGCTCTACTTTGAGCTAACAGCAGCTCGACTTTGAGCTAACCGCAGCTCTTCTTTGAGCTAACAGCAGCTCTTCTTTGAGCTAACAGCAGCTCTACTTTGAGCTAACCGCAGCTCTACTTTGACCTAACAGCAGCTCTACTTTGAGCTAACAGCAGCTCTACCTTGAGCTAACAGCAGCTCTACTTTGAGCTAACAGCAGCTCTACTTTGAGCTAACAGCAGCTCTACTTTGAGCTAACAGCAGCTCTACTTTGAGCTAACCGCAGCTCTACTTTGAGCTAACTGCAGCTCTACTTTGAGCTAACAGCAGCTCTACTTTGAGCTAACAGCAGCTCTACTTTGAGCTAACCGCAGCTCTACTTTGAGCTAACCGCAGCTCTACTTTGAGCTAACAGCAGCTCTACTTTGAGCTAACAGCAGCTCTGCTCTGAGCTAACAACAGCTCTGCTCTGAGCTAACACCAGCTCTACTTCGAGCTTCAAACCAGTTGTTTCGAAACCAGCACTCCTCAATCCAAAGATGCCTCTTTGTTGACTTGTTTGTGTGAGGGATGGGGCTAATGGTGTACTAGCTGTGCTAGTACTTGTTAGCAACAATCCGAACTAGCGCACACACTGCACTGCATTGCTTTGTACTGCATTCAAGACTGACGTCATGCGCTTTGTTTTGCTGCGTTATCACAAATGGCACCAGCCCATTTTGCGGAAAAGAAAAACAAATCTTGCTTGCCCTGTTGTGCTCGTCCAGACAACGGATCGTGCTTCAGCAGTGTTTCTTTTCCCACCATCCCTCCCTATCCAACTTATTCACACCATCATATTATCGTACCCACTAATCGGGTCCACTCTCACAACTGGTGTTATCTAGCTATTTGCTGCGGCTCTGCCTTGCGCTATATTACATCCATTTAGCATTGCAGCTCTACGTTGAGCTAACAGCAGCTCTACTTTGAGCTAACAGCAGCTCTTCTTTGAGCTAACAGCAGCTCTTCTTTGAGCTAACAGCAGCTCTACTTTGAGCTAACCGCAGCTCTACTTTGAGCTAACAGCAGCTCTACTTTGAGCTAACAGCAGCTCTACCTTGAGCTAACAGCAGCTCTACTTTGAGCTAACAGCAGCTCTACTTTGAGCTAACAGCAGCTCTACTTTGAGCTAACAGCAGCTCTACTTTGAGCTAACCGCAGCTCTACTTTGAGCTAACTGCAGCTCTACTTTGAGCTAACAGCAGCTCTACTTTGAGCTAACAGCAGCTCTACTTTGAGCTAACCGCAGCTCTACTTTGAGCTAACCGCAGCTCTACTTTGAGCTAACAGCAGCTCTACTTTGAGTTAACAGCAGCTCTGCTCTGAGCTAACAGCAGCTCTGCTCTGAGCTAACACCAGCTCTACTTCGAGCTTCAAACCAGTTGTTTCGAAACCAGCACTCCTCAATCCAAAGATGCCTCTTTGTTGACTTGTTTGTGTGAGGGATGGGGCTAATACGGTATAGCCTATAGCCTAGGCTATAGCATACTAATAGGGGTGGTGGGCGGGGAGTCGGGGACGTGGTGGACTCAGCTTGTGAGTTTCAGCTCCTTGCGCTTCTTGAGCTAGCTCCCCTAATAATTATACTAGACTGTGAGCCAGGCACCAAAAATCCTGTTAGAATTTTTTTTCGTTCCGACCTTGAGCGTACCGCAATTTTTTTCCCCAGTTCGTTTCATCTACTCGACTAGATACGAATTCAGCTTGTTGTCACTTCCAAATCAGGCACGAACATGCCCAAATAGAAGGGAGAAACTACTTTGGCCAAATCAATAGCCGCCATCGACAAGAACCAAGGTCACAAGAGCTGGAGCGGACTTCTGTTGCACCACTGACCTCGCAAAAATGTACGGTGGTGCAAACCCAGCCGCATCATGACGATGTTTTTTCGTGGTTTCTATACGACTATAGTATTGTGTGCAGTGCTAGTGCAGCGCAGTGGCAGTACGAACATCATCATGTCCATCATATCAGTGTGCTAGCATGCTTGCTGCTGATCAGTCAAGCTAAACTAAAGGTTTTTGTAATCAGTGTTGGAGCAGAAATACATGTAGAACGTACAATGTACCTTATCTCCGGAGAGCTAATAACTGTTTCGATCTTTTATACTGAAGTGCTTCAGACTATGATTAACATGAATATGCATGTATCTTTCCGCTTGTGTTCTGTACATACAATGGGTAATGTTTCAAAATAATAATTATTATAGTTCAAATAAACTACAGATCTGTATCTGCCGGTATACCCCTGTGGTCCTCTAACGTTACTGGTTACGGTCATTGCTCTACCCTTTGCACTTATAAGTTAGGAAGCAATACAGCAGTACTTACGAAGTAACGTTACATTGATCAGTTATATGAGTGCAAATATACAAATCCTGTATCCAGCAACTTCTTTAACATTGTTCTGCCATACTGTACATGTATATATTATAGAGATGTAGAGGGTGAAATGAGCATTGCACCGGATTAAACCAGATTCTCCTGGCTGTTGTTGATGGTCTTTTCCAACCGTTGTCTGGAGAATTCGCTGCTGCTGGGCTTTGTATATTGAATGCCACCTGTTTGTTCTGTACATTATCATTCCTGAAATGCATTTCGTGGTTGTCGGCACCATTTCATGTGCACTTACCTACCAGTGCATCGTCACTTCGAGTAATATTTAAAATGTGCACGTACTTTATACAATGCACTTATGCGTAATTCTATAATTTTTGGCTCGTATAGTTATTTTAACCCAGCTGCAATGACGCTTGATATACATTTCTTCGTCCAGTGCCGTTGCCTGCTGAAAAAAGTAAGAAACACCTTCAAAATAGCATGTTGCTATGTCAGTTGCTATGTAGTTGCTATGGAAACGGGGTATGTTAAGGTAATTGCTTATTTTGACTTCCCTGCAAGCTTCCCAAACTGACAACAATCAAAAATGATCTTCTATTAGGTCTCTCCACATGCTAAAAGAACAAAATCGCGGTACACCCAAAGTGGGAACGAAAATCATGAATTCATGCACTTGGCTCACAGTCTATACAGCTGATTTTGTCTCGCTTCTCAAAGCGTGTGAGTTTCAGCTCCGTGCGCTTCAGCTCCGCTACAGCTGATTTTATCAGTGTCACTTCACACCACAGCGTTGTACTTGTTGAGATCTGCTTCCCTTGAATGACTCACGACTGCCATCCAGAGCACACGAGGAGCACGTCGCACCTTCCACTCGGCAAACCTGCAAGAAAGCACCACTCCCTACTCAATAAACAGTGTTTCGGGGAATTCATCCCTCATCAGTTTAGCTTGAGTAGGCTGAGGAAGATTGTGCCTGAAAAGCACCACTTATACTGCTCTCCAGGCCAAACCATCACCAGGGATACAAACTTACAGAGACACTTTGTTTCCAGCGCGACGAACACCTCGTGAAGCTCCAGGTAGCAGCGTGAGTCAGACTCGCTCATGGAGTTGTGCTAAACAGACGTTGAGAGCCAGTATAGCTGTTCGCAACGCTGTCACCTCCAACAACTAGTCGCACAATCTTCCTCAGCCTACTCAAGCTAAACTGATGAGGGATGAATTCCCCGAAACACTGTGTATTGAGTAGGGAGTGGTGCTTTCCTGCAGGGTTGCAGAGTGGAAGGTGCGACGTGCTCCTCGTGTGCTCTGGATGGCAGTCGTGAGTCAGTCAAGTGTCAAGTTCGGCAAGAAGCGTGTGTCACTGTGTTCCTAGTTGGGACAATCAACTTTAAGGACTACGATCGTACGAGTACGAGATTATTGTTAATTTTTTAGTAGTCAGCTACAGTTCAGTACTAACAAGGTACGTGTACTCGAGTTCGAGTATGATCAGTCAAAATAATTACTAGTAATCTTTAGCTTTAATATATACATGTAGCTGGTGTACCATATACGCGGGCCAAAGAAAGTGGAAACCTGAAACACGATCATGGCGGTCGGGCAGGACTTTTCGCCTTCATCAAGTTTTCCAGGTACGCGTGCTCGAGTGTAGTCTAGTAGAAATGAAAGTGCAGCCACCACGTCCCCGACCTTCACCTCTAAGACAACCTGAAAACAATTCTAAACCTACTTGTACTTCTTGAGCAAAGGAACAATGCAGTAGGTCTAGCCACCACGTCCCTGACCTCCATCCCTGTGTGCTATGTGGTATCCCGCTTAGGGCCGGGCTCCAATGCGGCTCCGCTACTCCGCTGGTGGTCATCCGCGACTTGAAACGTCATCATTACCATAGTGACCGGGGTCCGCGGCTCGAGCTGGAGCAGCGAGGCCGCGAGCTTTCGCTACGATTCTTGATCAAAAACTGCGAGCCGGTGTACAACCCAATACATGTAATAATAATTATTGTTATTAATATTGTAATTTGTAGGGTTTGACAGGCTAAGACTAAGAGAAGGATCCAATATTGCAATAATGACGTGGGCGCCAACTGCGAACGTTTCATCGTCTCGACTCGAGTACGACTACAGTGATTAATGCATAAAGAGTACACGTGACGTCGGTATTCGGCCTCTTTGGCTTCGTCTACGACTCTCTACGTACGTGGGGCTACTAAATAGTCATTGTACGTACTTATAATAATGACCTGCAGTCTGCACGTAATACATGTTGTAATAGGCCTCGAAATTCAAGCTGAGTCGACTTGCTGATCACGGATCGTAGGGTGCCTGTTGGCTTGGTAGTGTAACTGCGTTGCACACCTAACGCGTAACGCCTTTGTTCGATCAAGTCCAAGTCTTTAGCTGGAGTGTCCCAATAATGACGTGGGCGCCAACTGCGAGCCTCTCATCTCATCGACTCGATCGAGAGTCGAGACCAACTACAGTGATTAATGCATAATGAGTACACGTGATGTCGGTCTTCGGCAGGCTTTAGCTTTGGCTTCGAACTTCGTCTACTATACGTGGCCACGTAGACGAAGCCAAAGGCAAGGGGCCAAAGACCGACATCACGTGTACGTGGAGCTACTACATAGTCATTGTAATTGTACTTAACTACTTGGCCTTGGCAGTGTTGCCCACGTAAGAATACCGCGTATGCGTCGTTCGATCAATTCCAAGAACTAGACGTCAATTACGTGACTTAGTCCTTAGCTGGCGTGTACGTGTCCCCAGCGGTTCGCATGCATGGTCACTACCAGCTGTGTGTAAAAGATCAGTGGTTGTGGATTCGCCTACATGACAGCATGGCGCGTATAAAAGGCTTTGGGAGAGATTTGTTTCAGTTGTAGCGAGTATCAGTAGCTAACACTACTACTACTACTATTATTAGTTCCCGAGGCTTGCTTTCCTACTGAACAGATTTCAATTCTTCTCTAGATTTACTGATGGTGTTGCTGTCCCGCTGTAGCTAGGCGAATACACTGATTGTCGTAGTTGAAACTCAAATTCTCTGCTGACTAGTACGATCCTGCAGAATTCGGCAGAAGCTCACCTAGACGGATCGAAGACTCTCACTCAGACCACGGACGGTAAGGTGAACTGAAGGCTTGAACATCTGCTTACTCAATTTGCTGAAATTCCCGTTGTTCGCAATTATTTTTCGCACTAAAGCAAAGTTTCGTTGCATTGCTTGTGTCGGGACTATCATTTGAAGCCTAGTTCACATTCGACGGGACGCGACGTAAGGATCGACGGGAAGCGACGGGACGGTTTGACGGAGTCCGGAGTCCAATGTGAACACCAGGAACGGGAACGCAACCGTATTACCGTACAGATCGGGAAGCGACGGGAAGAGTTGGATCGTTCCAACTTTTCGTACCGTAGACGGGCGTAGACGGGGACGCAAGCGTACAAAACGGCTGCAATTCGATTGTGAACAGACGACGGCGTCGTGCGCCGACTACTCCCGATTCGTACTTGGACATTTTTAGCATTTCGAACACTGCGCTTCCCCTGATAACTCACAGAATGGCTAGCACGACTTGAGTTGAATTTTAGCAACATAAGATCTCATGTCACTTATTGTATTTAGGGACTAGCAGCACCCGGCCAGCGTTGCCTGGCCGAACGTGGCATGCGGGTGAAGCAAGTACATGAACAGCACATTGCTGTGTAACACCGCATGACCGGGTAGTTGTTTATGAGCAGTTATAGAACTGAGATTCACAATAGTTTTTTTTTTTCCCCACAATATCCTTTAACATGTTATTCACAGTGGGTCCAATGTTATTAGGCATTTTGCCTGTTTTGATTTCCACTATAAATAAAGTATACAAATAGTGAAGGCTCATCCAATTATTGGGAAATTGTGCCTTAGGCATGTTGAGACATGTACGTACATGTACATGTGGCAGCTTGGACATAGAGAGTGTACTTGTGTTCAGCATATGGGATGATGGGATGCTTCATCCTCGAACAATAATGCGAACAGTAATGCGCAGCATGGTGAGTGAATGGAATCACGTATAGAGTTCTCAGTTATTGGGATTAGTCAGCCATGACAACAAATCGTCGGCAAAGTACTGCGGCACACCCGCAGGAGACACCAAAAAAAATTCAAGGCAGGAGACACAATGCCCTGCACGAAACTGCTAAAGCGTGGCCTCAAGAGACCCCAGAAGAGGCAGAACAAAGGCAAAGTGGAAACCCAATGCAAGGAAGCCATAGGTCACTGGAGACGCAAGGGAAGGAGGTTCGGTAGGCAGTTGGATCAGAGGAAGCTGCAGGTAACAGAGATCTTACAGGGACAAATGCAATGGTTATGGAGACTCCCCCTCCCCTCCCCCCTCCCCCTCCCCCCTCCCCCGCACCCCCCCCCCATGCACCCATCCCCCCTTCTCCCCCCCTCCCCCTTCCCCCCTCCCCCACACACCATGCGGTATGTGGCACCTTCTTCTGCTAGAGGCCTGTGGGCATGACGTGCAGTCACTGTAGTGCAGCCGGGTAAACTACATTTCTCGTTTTGCCGTCATTGCACAAAATGTGAAGGTTGTCTGGATTACCTACCCGTGAGCAACCCACATAAAACTGTCCATGAGCAAAGCATGGTGTTGTTAGGTCCAAACCAACAACCTTCAGGGACTGCCCTTGGGACTTGTTTATGGTCATGCAAAAGCAGACACGGAGTGGGAACTGGACACGTCGAAGTTGGAATGGCAGATTGGTGGATGTCGTGGGTATTTTCGGTATGTACACCGGTTCTCCTGCACCCGAGCCAGTCAAAATCTCAGCTTCAATTACATGTCGCTGGATGCGCTTCACAATCTTGTTCCATTGCACAACTTCGGCGCATCCAGGTTCCTGAGAAGCATGACCGGCACACCCACTTTGAGCTGAAGCAGGTGACTTGGTAAGCCTGAGGGGTTACAGGAGTTCAGGAATTCAACAGGGTAATCACCAGAGTCGTCATCTTCGACAGTGTCAACAGACTCGTACTGGACCAAGTCACCTGGCAGTTTGTGCATGAGTATCCCATTCATGTCAGTGACAGTGTCATTCAAAGGTGCAAGGATAGCTCTTTCTTTCAACCAAGTGGGATCTACAAAATTGTCCGCGACATCAGGGTAGATTATTCGTACAATGTCTTCTTGGGAAGCAGCAATCTGTGCGAGATCACCCGGAACCGCAATTTCGCCTGAAGGCAGAACGGGTATTGCACCGTTGCCGACTTTAAGGAGCTGCGCAGAGAATTGACCCGCATTGGTATCACTGCTACGCAGAACTCGCATGTTTGTGGTAAGTGTGTACTCCACCACGGAACGCCAGAGCGCCGAAGACTTGATGCAGGCATTGATCTCATCAGCAGAAGTGCCTCTAGGAACAATAGGCAACGTTTGGCGAAAGTCACCGGACATCACAACCGTCACACCACCCATCAAGGAATTAGAGCTGCGCAGGTCTCGCAAAGTCCTGTCGACAGCCTCGAAAGCATGCTTGTGTGACATCGTGCATTCGTCCCACACGATCAGCACAGCCTCACGAAGGAGCGCTGCTTTCTCAGAATCTTTGGCGATCGAGCAGGTTGGCTCCTCAAGGCGGTGCAGATCTAAGGGCAAAGCGAATGTGGAGTGAGCAGTCCGACCACCAGCCAAGAGTGTGGCTGCTATTGCGGAAGAGGCAACAGCCAAGGCAACGTGTCCACCTGATCTAACCTTTGCAAGAAGTAAGTTTGTGACGTATGTCTTACCTGTACCACCGGGTGCGTCGAGGAAAATCAACCCATCGTCACTTGTCTGTACCTGGTCACAAATTGCGTCATACGCCAAACGTTGATCGTCGGTTAGTGTCGGTTCTTGTTGTCGTACTTGCTCAAGCAACGCGGCACGGTCGTAGTTGGTCTCCCTTGCAAGAGGCTGGTCGGACAGAGTTGAACTTGCCTGTGATGGGTCTGGAAGGCCTGCACTTACCAAGGTTCTACCGCACATGGTGAGAAGGTGTGTCTGGATGGCGCAAAGGCACTGATCGAACTCCATCTGAGAAAATGTTCGCGCCTCATTCCCTTCCTGTCGACGCGCCGCCTGCAAATAATCTTCTGACATTGCCTCACGGAATTCATTCCATAGTCGCAAAGGATCACTAACTTCGCAGAAGGACATGATGGAAAAGAGGTGCCTGATCGCAGCTGGATGGCTGGACTCGGCAGCCTGAAGCAAGGCACCGAGCCAATGCTCGTCGTCCTGCAGCAGACCCCGAAGCTGACAGGCTTGCCTGTACGTTTCGCAAACTTGGTCATCTACTGTCCTGACATCATCGAACGAAGTCGGCCCGTGAACAGTGTGCAGAAGGAGCCGCAAGTAATAGCACTCTGCCTGCCTTGGGTGCACGGCGTACACTCGGCCGAGAGCATCACTTTTCCTGACCCCCTCGTAGCCTGGGACAGGAGTGCCGACTTTGCGCCTCTTGAATTTCTTCCGTTGGGCATCCCACACGAAGTAGGAAGGCACGCTGTTGTACAGAAGAGTTCTCGCGAAGGCATCAGTGGCACAAAGCTTGAAAAAAGCAGTGAGAGTAGTCTCTGGCGGACTCTCACTTACCGTATGGGCGGTCTCTTCTGTGAAGTAGACTCGCTGGCCATTCTCCAAGTGAACCGCAAGGTGGGTGACTGTTGGATACCTGCCATGAATCGGGAAGCCAAAAATGGGCCAGACTGCCTCGCTACTGGAAACATACCGACCTGTCTGGTACCTGCTGACCTCATCGTTCTCATTCTGGACACCGAAGACTGCCTGATCCGAACCTTTGTTGATGTACTTTGTGATGTACTTGATGGCCTTTACAGAGTTGCACACCTCCACATTGATGTGCGCACTGAACAATCGAAGGAGGACTGGGTTGTAAGGCACAACCCATCTGTTGTCGACTTCGACTTCTTCGTTTCTAATTTTCAACACCGTGAATGACCCGCCATCTTCCCGGGAGCGCCTGCGGTAAAGAGGGTATCCATCCCTGTCCGTCTGGGTGTGTTTCACCATTGGTTTGGGGTACCCTTTGCTGCACTTCCCATCTTTCATGCATGGCGCGCTTGTGTTTAGTGCACCGCAAGGTCCATGGATCATATGCTTTTTGACCAAGTCATGGAGGACAGGGTCATCCTCCGCCGAGGGAATTTCCGCACAAACAACATCATCCACATCAGCAGATTGAATTGAATGCTGGAGCCACAGTAGTGCATGCATGTGCGGCAGGCCTCTCTTTTGCCACTCTATCGTGTGCATGTTGCAAGTGCTCAGGCCGAACAATTCGCCTTTTGTCAGGACATCCATGAACAACTTTGATTTCAAACGGAAGACACGTGCGATGAGGTCGTTTCTGTCATGCGGTGACTGGGCGTCAAAAAGCTCTGCAGCTATCTCGGGCCACTTAGGATTGCATGTGGCGGTAATGAAAAGCTGTGGCCTGCCGCGCTCTCGAACATACGTCATTGCATCTTGTGTCTTTTCTTTCATGTATCGTGGGCCGCCAGTGAAAGTTGCGGGCAAAATGACTTGCCGACGGACGTTTGCAGGATTTCCGTCATTGCTGATGGCGTCACGTAAATGAACGTAGTTATCTGCTCGGAGACTGGCCTGATTGAAGCGAATGAAGGATAGACGTTCAGATTCGATCTTCACATACATGTCAACAATGTACTGGTGGAATAACTGAGCACCTCTGAGGATTGTGTTGAAGGAGTCATTGCGGACCATCAGTTTGTACGCGTAGAAGTCACTCGCTGTCACTTTCTTGCTCGTCGGAACACGGGTCTGCGCATTGACCTGCCTATGTAGGAAGTGATAGCCATCTTCGCCATACGGCAGCAGCAAAGGGTATTGCAAGGAATCGTATGACCTGTGTGTGTCCGCTATCCTGTTCACAGACTCGTCTCTCAAACGCAGTACAATGTCCCTCTTTTCATGCGCATCGCCTGCTATCAGAACGGCAACTTCATTGACCGTGGGTGCATTGAAGCGACCGGGGTGTTCACCTTGTGGTGCTCGGTCTGCGCTCAACTTCAGTCGCAAGTCTGGGACATTGCCAACATCCAATCGCGTCTTGATGTTGACGATGTGCGGATTGTGCGCATGGAGCATCGCCTGCAGGTCAGCAACAGTGACGTGGTGGAGGTTGTGAATAACTTCGCACCGCCTGCTAGTTTCTCGCTCGCTGTCGCCCATGAAATAAATTTGCAAGAACTTGTGCTCTTCGCCTGCCAGGGGAAGGATTGACCCAAGTCTGTGGTAGATTTGCCCTTTCACCTTGAACGTTGGCATGAAGCCGTCCATGTACTGCTCATTCGCACCAAATGATGTCATTTGGAATGCACTGTTGTATTTGCGAATGCTCTGGAGGAAGTGCTTGGATTCCTGAGTTGAAAGGCCAGAAAGCAGGCTTTTGAGCGGCTGAGGTGGCTCTGCATAGTCTGGGAGATCAACAAAGTTTTTCCACTTGAGCAACATATACCTGGCGGCTCATTTTTCCACGTTCTGGCCTTGCAATGCTTACACAGGACGTTCATGCCACCTAATGTGATGGACCTGTGAGTGGGATAGTCCAAGTTGCTGTCGTAATGGAAGCCCAGTTTACCCCAGATATCTGGTTTAATGGTCTGTATGTTACGGGTGAAATTACCAGTACGCTCACCTGCTCTCGTAGTGGCCATAGGCTGTTCGTGGGGATCTGGCCCTGTGGCGGATGCATTTTCATCCGGGGGTGCTCCCACCCGCTGAGCATTTTGGCTTCTTCGTACCTCCGTGTCCCCTTGCGTCTCGAGTGACCTCGCTCTGGCAACTTGCATACGGCTTTGACTTCGGCGATGGTCTGCCTGCTCAGGTGTCTCATGCGAACGTGCCTCAGCAGTTCGGCGGCAGTCACAGTCTCTACGTTCCAGAGTTCGTTCATGCGTCTCCTGAGAGCGTGTCGCAGCAGTTTGTCGACGATTTAGAAGTCTGTGGCGATCAGCCTGTTCTTCAGTTTCCTGTGACCTTGCCCTCTGCATTCGAACCCTGGCTTGTTCGCGTCTGCGGGCAATGGCCTCTTCATCGTCGGACGACGTTATTGATGAGGACCGGCGGCGTCTTTTCCCAGACCGCTGAAGTCCTGGTGAGGAAGGTTCTTCATCGTTGGAAGGAGAAGGAGGGACGTCTGTTACGCCTTCGGGAGGCTGGTCAGGGTTGTCCATCACCTGGTGGCGGATGAAGCGGCTCAAAACATGAAAAAGTGCAAAGCGTCGCCTAGGTCAAGTCTTAAAGTTTTTTTGTATTTGCAGAGAAAGGTTCAGGTGGAAAAGGAAGCTGTAGAACTTTTGTATCCTTTTTTTGGAGATCTTTCTATTTGCAGAGAACGGTTCACGTGGTCCGTGGAAAAGGTAGCTGCACGATGCGCTCTTCACTGCAGATCAGATGCAGAGTGCAGTCAGTGTAGATCTTTTGTATCCTTTTTTTGCAGATGTTTCTATTTTCAGAGAACGGTTCACGTGGTCCGCAGCGCTTGTGCGGCTGCTAGTGCTACCTATGGCGTAGACTAGGTGGCTACAGGATTCGCACGCTTCGCATGCTCAGTGCTTCTGCGCGCGGCTGCTACTGCATGCTACTCGTACTGATCGTGTCTGCTAGCTACACTATTCGCACGCTTCGCGTGCTCAGCACGTGGTGGTGGCTACACGATTCGCATGCTTCGCGTGCTCAGTGCTTCTGTGGCTGCTTCTGCTAGCTACACGATTCGCACGCTTCGCGTGCTCAGTGCTTCTGCGGCCGCTAGCTACACTGTTCGCACGCTTCGCATGCTCAGGGCAGCGCTGCTCCGCAGCGCTTCTGCGTAACACACAGACAAACACACGTCACAGGTGCCTCTTCGTTATAAGTTTAGATAGTTCAAAAGAGTGACAGACGAACTATTCTATCATTTCCTGGGGCTATTATTTGAATGCCACAACTTTCTGGGCTAATTTTTTGATCTTCATGAAAAACTGGTATTGTGAACTTGATTCCATGTCACTTATAGTAGTCCGCAATGCTGCTTTTCTAATTCTCACTATGATTAGCATGCAATGTACTACCCGAAGTACTGAATTTACTTCTTTTGTACTAATGTATCTTCTACCTCTTCTCCCTTACGAACATACTTTCTCAGTTTCCATACTTACTTAGGAGACTCCCTTCGATAGGCATCTATTTGCCTCTGGAGGATCCGTGAAATACAAATCAATCAAATCAATCAATTCCGCTTCTTTCAAGGAGAAATTGAAAAGAAGTCCCGAAAAATGAGAAATTAGGTCGAAAGTCACCCCGTCACGGACCGTGCCTCTTGACTCGCGCCGTTCGACGTTGAACGTTGCAACGAAGGCTGCATGTCGTGTCGTACGAATCGTACAGGATTTTACAGCTCACCCCAGCCCTACCGACAAGCCCTTACGTCCCGTACCGTCGGCGTTGCGTCGAATGTGAACTAGGCTTCACACTAGGTTTTGTCCATCATTCCTAGCACTAGCACTGCGCAGGTGTTCACTTCAAATGCATGTGCATGCATTTCTGGGATATGAATAAAAATCGTATGTTCAGTTTTCTGTGTGCACCCCCAGAGCAATTTTGTCCGTCAAGGCTTCAAATATGGCCCAGTATCTACAAAACTGGACCTTAGGGTGCGTTCTTATATTCTCTAGCTTCTAGGAGAAGAAGAAAAGAGAAGTCAAAGAAACCGGGATAATTCAAGAACGGGTCTCGAAAAATTCGGAGATATTTTGCACATGTCAAGCAAAATGAAGCGCCTAAGGAAGCGATCTTGAGTGATGAATGTAATATGCATGTGTGCGTATGCGAAAAGGGAAATGGGTACACTCATGATGAACACGTGGCTTTTAGTCGTAATTCGCAAGCGCTGATCCCAAACTGCGGGAATCTCCATTGCAAGTTTCAACCACCTCTGAAGCTTGGAGACCCTCCTAAAAGTCGGAAAGAATAAGAACAGCCATGCTAGGATTTTGGTGTACAGCATGGAGTTCAGGGTGACAGATCATGTCATACGCGGCAGAGCTCTTTCGTCCTAACTCGAGTTGATCCAGGACATTTCAGTTGAACCGCTTCTGTCGCCGTCGCCTCACTAGTGTCTCCTCGGTGGGTATTTCCCCTGACGGGAGCTGTCCTAAAATCAGAAGGGCCCTACGAGGATTTCAAGACGTCAGAAAGTACTTCCACCAGCAAAGAGCCTCTTTGGCGGAGCGCATAAATAAAGTTGAATTTCTCGTTGCTAAAATAGGAATTGGGTGTCGACAAAAACATCTTGTGAGAACTGTTGTCGTTCTCTACCAGACGCGACGATTCCTACCTAGGAAGTCCAATGACTTCTTGCAGAGATGGACAGCAGTTGGCCATCATGAGCCAACGCTCCTACTACACTTTTAGGACAATCAAAAGCTTTCATTGTCGCAATGAACTAATTTTTGTTTGGATATGCACATCGCGAAGCAAGAGATTTTTGCCGTTGCAGAAAATGACTTTTTCTGCCAAAACATATTTTCACCCGTAGGTCGATTCTCGCTGCTACTGGGCCAAGGAATAATATTATTATTCACAAAGAATAATGTCTGCGGCCTTCATCCTATTCATGGGTATATTAAAAGAATAGTACTAGTCAAAATAATATTTTGAAAGGATTGGGAGAACTTCAAATTCAAAGGATCAATTGGGGAAGTGAACTGCCTGAATTTTTTCTCTTTTCAGGCAGTTGACTTCCCCAATTGATCCTTCAAAAAATATTCTTCTTCTTTATCTGCTGGTGTTTTTTGAGTCTGCACGCCAAGAAACACCGGCTACTGCAATTGTATTCCCAGCATCTGTTTATGCTTGACGCAAGGAAATCGTTATTTCTTGATGCCGCTTTCTAACTTTACTTAACTTACCCAAGGTAGTGATCTACCTAAGACTACCCGAAAGTATATCTTCACACTTTACCCATGTCATGACCTCCAATTGATTAAAAAAATTCTAATTGTCCACAAACTCCAATGCAGCCACTTGCACATTCGGGAAACTTCACTTCTCAACTCCAAACTCCAAAAACTGACTTGTTTAGGGAAAACAATGGAAAATCCACAACTGGCTTTAATCGGTCAGAAAAAGGCTAAAAGCCACTCGACCCATTTTTAAGCTATGAGATTAGGCCGTAGCGGTAAATCCATCAGCCTTGCTGGCTGTTGAATGTTGAAATCCCTCAGCCAGGTTTCTTTCCGGGGTGTAGATCAACTTTACAAAATCCTTGAAAATATGACATATTTCCAATGACTTCTTCTGAAGGAATCCTTGGAACTGGCATGTACATTTTTCAAATTTACAGCTACAGTACTCGATCTGCGGACAGAACTGTTTTGCCCTTTGTGGACTCATCAGCGCAACATAGAGAAAATGGACCTGATAGCAGTGAGAAATAAATTTTCCAAAGCCAGATTTAAACCAGGCGCGAATGTACCTTGCCAGAGTGCTCCAACCGACAACTCAGTGAGCTCTGCATAACGCAAACAGCAAAGGCACTACCCACCACGAGAGTGCTCAACTTCTATGAACAGGAGCGAAATACTGTAATTTCACAAATTTTCGGTGTACTTTTATTTTCGGTACTTTCGGTGCGTCTGTTTCATACCTAAAATTTCAATACACCGAACAAACACTAACACACATAATCCAATAGGGAACTGCTTCTCTGTACCGAAAATTTCTGTTCACCTAACCTGGCCTGTTGCCCTCATACCGAAAATATTGAGCACCGAAAATTTCTGAAATTAGAGTACTCAATCCGGGGACAGAACTGCTTTGTCCTTCGTTGACTCATCAGCGCAGCACAGAGAAAATGAGGCCGAACCTGATTTGAATTGAAAATAATTTTTAAAAGCCAGATTTAAACCAGACCCGAACACACCTTGCCACTATGCCAGAGTGCTCAAACCGACAAGTCAGTGAGCTCTGCATAACGCAAACAGCAAAGGCACTACCCACCACGAGAGTGCTCAACTACTAGAAGAGCAGGAGTGAAATACTAAATGTTTCGTTCTTTGTGGACTCGTCAGCGTAGCATAAAGAAAATGAGATCGACCCTGACAGCAATGAACAATAGAATTTCCAAAGCCAGATTTAAACCAGGCCCGAACGTACCTAAATTAACTTTACAGCTACAAATGATCAGCCATTTTAGCGATCATCAGACAGCAGCATTTATTATTGTATATCTGTACATAACCATTCTGGTGTTATGGTTGCCAATTGTGTTCTAAGGCGGCAAGAAAAGATACAAATAAGACTGGGATGATTAAATATCTGGCTGTAAATATCAAGATCATGAGCAGCAGCAGCAACGAGAGAGAGAGAGAGAGAGAGAGAGAGAGAGAGAGAGAGAGAGAGAGAGAGAGAGAGAGAGAGAGAGAGAGAGAGAAGAAAGAGAGAGAAAGAGAGAGGGAGGGAGGGAGATAGAGAGAGAGAGGGAGAGATAGAGAGAGATAAAGAGAGAGAGAGAGAGAGAGAGAGAGAGAGAGAGATAGGTAGATAGAGAGATAGAAAAAGAGAGATGTCTGTATGGTTGATGAGTCCAGTTTTGTTTTGTAATTTGAGACCATTTATGATGAACTCGGATGGAGAGCCAAGGATAAATGTATAGAAAGGAAAAGAAAAGTGGACATAATAGCGAAACGTGTAGTTCCCTTGTCCTTTTTCTTTTCTATAGTATAGATATATGATGATGGCGGCTATAGGGTCGTGATCCAGGAATGATTCCATCCAAAAAAATAGTGCAAGGAGTTGTAATGATGGCTTGTTGATGCAACTCTATGACACTATCGACCAACAATTCTGTATTGGTAAAGTATGTTTCTATATGCCTGACTGCTTGTATGTTTGCTTTTGTGCATGTGTTCCTCTTCATATGTGTGTGTGTGTGTGCGTGTGTTTGTTGGTTGTGCGGACGTCCAGGTCATTCCGTCGAGGACGGGGAATACAAGACTAGGCCTCTGAGCGAACCTTGGCAACGGAGGGTCAACAACCTATTGACTATTGATACCATGTCAAGGGAATTAACGTCAACCGCGTGTGGAATGGACAGCATTGTATTCGACGTGTGGGTAGAACATGTACTGCCCTTGTTGTCCATCCGGGACATCTTTCGGCTGTGTGGAACCTCCAGGCAGGTTCCGTCGCTGCTGTTCTGGGAAGACACGTTTAGACATCTATGTCGGGTAAGTAGTTTGTTTACTTGAAGTTCTAATTTAGATTGCAAAACAATCGGGCATTGATGTCCAATATTATAATGGCAATAGAATAAAAAATGAAAAGTGTCTCGAGAAAATGAGAGAAATAAAGGGAAAATACATGTACTGGGAATTACAAGCCAATTTTTGACAAACTTTACAATCAGACAAGAACGGGGAAATGAGGGCAGATGCTCAAGGGAGGTAATGTTAGGCTAGGTTAACCATGGACGAACACTTTCAGCATTAGTTCTAACGAATTATGGCGACAAGTGGAGGTGATCTCCTGTGGCAGGGTGTTCCAAAGCTTCACGGCGGAAACCAATGGTCAGCTGTTGCCAGGTGTTCCCAGCGTTAGAGGGGCACAACGTATTTGCAATTGTCATTACTACGGGTGTTCCTGGGATGTTGGAGTTACTGTTTTAGAATAGAGCTAATGCTGGTGGTGTGAACATGGTGCATAAGGAAACGGAGCTTGCATTTTGCAAGTTCAATGGCGAGAATGAATCATGTTAGACATTCGGTGAATTATCATGGGAGCTAAGTGTTTGAAATGCTAAAGAACTCTAGTATGCAGTTTTGTTGTGGGGGGGGGGGGGGGAGTCGGCACACAACGCCGTCTCCTGTTCACACTCGAAATGCAGCCGTTTTATCCGTATACGTCTCGTTGCAATTCTACTTTACTATTCCCGGGGAATTGTGTGTTTCTCCCTACGTGTGAGCTTGCGCTATTCCTGCCGACTGGAATTCTCACTTGACTGACTCACGACAACCATCCAGAGCACACGAGAAGTCCATTGAATCTTCCTATTCCATTCTATTATTTAAATTGAGAAAATCACAGACGGAAGCGTCTAAGGAAAACTGGCTGTACTATCATAATGATCAGGTCCAATTGTCAACCGATATGCCTCACGAATGCACAAATAAGTTGTTTTCACTATCAATTTGTGTATTCTTTGTCCCATGCGTGCAGCAACGCTATCAACTCAGTCCTGCTTTGGACGTGTCATATATAGACGTTGCCAGAAACCTGGAAATTGTCACCGGTGTGGCTGGCCTGTATCATAGCCGGTGCATCGATACCATGCATTGCATTTACGGCAGCGATGTGGATGTTGGTTTGGTCGGCAGAGAAAAGAAGCAGTCGATTATCACACTGTCGTGCCTAGAGTTGATGCTGCCAGCACAGTTGAGTCATACCACGAGCTGGGACAGCGCTGGCCTGTTCAAGTCACTCGCCGAACGCCATTTACTACATGCACAAGAAGATCGAGAGTTCCTACCAAACCTTTTGCTGAGGGAAATCGACCGAAACGTTAAGTCGACCAAAGACTTGAGTTCCCTTTGCTTTGAACCATTGCAGTACCTGTTTAGAGATGTGGCAGATTTGTTTAAGCGTTTCGCATCGAAGAAATCGCGTCAAGCAGTGATTATCAACTCGATGGAACCACTTGTTTCAAGGATGACCAAATACATACCTTACTTTAACCGCTCGCGGAGGCTTATGAAAATTGCGCATTCCCTGCACAATTTAGCCCAGAAAGACAGAAAATTGTTATCAGCTCTGGAACTTGAAGATCTCAACGCATTTCCCCTTATCGACGATGATGATGAGTGGACGGACTCGTATAACCCTTACTACCATTGTGATATCAACTATTACGACAATTATGATCTGGGCGAAGATATGGATATGTCCCGAACATTGGTCGACATGGCCGCCAAGCTCTCAGAAAAGCACTCAGTTCTGAAGCTGCTGATAATGGGTAGGCTTAAGACATTGAATCCCGAGAATTACTTCATGGCTCTCAACGAATATGAAGAATTCTGGAAGAGTTTGGCTAAGTCAAGTCGCCCCAGTCGTGAAGTTCTATGCAGCGGCTTGGGAAGCCATCTACTTTCATCAATATCAGGATCGCCTGATCAGAAGCTATGGACGATACCGGAGCTAGTGAACGCCATGAAGAATTTTGGAAAAAACTAGTTTCCTTTGCGGCCAGAAAAGCTACCGCTTTCAGAGAAGCAAAGAAGACCAGAATGTGTGCAAGAAGACGAAAAGAAAGAAGACGAAGAACGCGAAGAATAGTCCAATTATCATCTAAACAGCGCCCCGTGTCACGATCGCCTGATCAGAAGCTATGGACGAAAGCGGAGCTAGTGAACGCCATGAAGAATTATGGAAAAAAACTAGTTTTCTTTGCGGCCAGAAAAGCTACCGCTTTCAGAGAAGCAAAGAAGACCAGAATGTGTGCAAGAAGACGAAAAGAAAGAAGACGAAAAACGCGAAGAATAGTCCTATTATCATCTAAACAGCGCCCCGTGTCAACAACCGATTCCCATGGCGATCACACCGACACACACGCGCACGCAGACACACCAAGACACGTATACACATGGAGGTACATTTGACACCCCACATTACATTGTATATTGCAATGTTATGCATCTCGAACTTCGTGATTGTATACCTCCTTATTTTGATAGTCCACTTCACCCGCCCTTGTTAACACACGGCTAGTTGTTACCGTTTCAAGTATTCAATGATGATGATGATTGACTAGATCCTCCTTATCCTCTTTTTTATTTATTTTGTCAGTTCTAGTTTTGGACATGATTGTTCTCAGTCTATCATAATTAGTGCATTTGGAATTACATATAACGATCGATTGCATTAGCATGTCTGTCCACATGTTTTAAATTTTTGGAATTTGGTTGAGTTTTACTCAATACAGCACATGAATGATGACAATTGTATGGTACTCTTTGTTGGCTTTGTATTTTTATTAATTCTATTTATATGTAGAAAGGAAAAAGACATTACAAGTTAAGGGGGCACATCACCCAAAAATTCGCTGAAAAATCGAATTTGTAAATTCATATTGAGTGCTACGTCAGTTGAAAGAGCATGAATAGCTGCAAATTCTCTGAAAACTGTGTCCCTATCTGACCAGCCGTTCAAGAGTTAGGGCAGAAAATGTGCCCTTGCAAGGAAAGATTTTTTTGTTGCATGCTGTCATTTGTTGGCAGCACTGTATTTGAATGTGAGCAGACCGTGCGCAACTTGTCGTATTATGGAAACACGCGAAAGTGTGCAGAATTTTGCCCCAAGTCCAAAAAAGTCCAAAAAATCACGTTAAAAAACCACGTATTGGGCTGCACGGCGGCGGGCGAAGCCCGCCGCCGTGCAGCAGGACTTTTGCCAGCACCCTCGTGACGTTGCAGATATGTGGCTTGATTATTGTAGTTGACGTTGATTTAGTGACTTTGGCAAGTTTGAGTCGTGTCAAGAAGTCAGGTAGGATTCAGTACTAGGCAGTAGTGAAACGTGAGTGGCAGTCTTTGCCGGTTTCTGAGGGCATCCTGGATTTGGTTTGCAGCGCTGTGGAAATGGCTTGCTGTGGAGGTCCCAGCACTGGATGTTGTATCAAAGGTACGACCTCGTAGCACGTGCCAAACCTAAAAAAATTCAAAAATTGCCTTGGGTCTGTGGGAGTCCGTGAAAGAACGCCCACTCGTTCCGTTGTGACAGATTCCAGGGCCACGTTGAGGGGCCCTACCCCACCACCCATGGCTGCTTCTGGACTTGTTTTAGGTTTGGGTCCCGCGCACGGACAGAATGGGCACGAAAATGTGAAAAAAATGTAAATGCATTTGTTTGGCTCCTGGGTGGCTCGCACACCGTAGCACTATGCCGGAAATTTGAGTTTTTCCGGCCTGGAAAGCCTGTCAGTGAGACGCAAGAACTTGTCAATCATGTCCTGAGGGCCAGCATAGTGGCAGGAGTGTGTGGTCAAAATTTCACTCTAATCCACTGAGAAACACCAAAGTTACGGTCAATTGAATGCCATATGAAATTTTTGGGTGATGTGCCCCCTTAAGTTGAGAGCACTGACTAGACTCGGAGTGCACCCGCCGCAGTAGATCTAGGTGTACTGCTTCTTGCGCGCTCTGAATGAGTGTGGGAGTCTAATGACGTGAAAAACACGTCACGCAACTGTGTAGGAGTATGGTTCAGACAAGGCCCATGTCATCTACCGGTATTTTTGCTCTAGTTATGTCACATGTACACCTGTACACGCACAGCATCAGCCGGGGGCATGAATTCATTATTGAAGCCAATGAAGGTATACAAAGCAAGACACGGATAGCATAGCATAGTATAGCCGGGGTGGTGGTCGGGGACGTGGTGGACTCAGCTTGTGAGTTTCAGCTCCTTGCGCTTCTAGCTCCCCTATTATTATACAGTAGTCATTGTACGTAAAAAGAATTCGGGTGGACACACCCATTCCCATAGCGCTGCATATCACATCTGAACCAGTTCCGTTATTTTACAACGTTTCGGCACTTGGCCATCGTCAGGTAATAACAATGAATACCGTGGAAGCCACACAAGAGCAGTATATACGCAGAGTGTAGCGCCAAAAAAGATGCGAATTATGTCACCTAGTATGACACAGAGAGAGAAAAGGCGCAACTAGCACATCACGGAGGAGAAGCAGCAGAAGGTAGCGCGCATTGTGCTCTGTGAATGGCGTTACGCAGCGTGTAGCGCCAAAAAATAAAAATTTAATGATGCGAGTTATGTCACCTAGATACAGAGGGGGGGGGGGGGGGAGAGAAGGTGCAACTGTGCACATCACGGAGAAGAAGAGCGCACCGTTGTGCTCTACGAAGTGAGGGCACATGCCAAATAATTATGGTGTTAATTCTAGCACAGGATCTAGGAGGGGAGCACGGAGCCCCATGAGTCAATGCACTATGAGGTTAAAACTTCCATGCCAAACTGTTACCACCAGGGACGCGACGAGGCATCAGGAATAGAATGGTTTTGAGTGACCCGCCTCATATTATAATTATTCAGTGATATTGAAGTAGCAGCAGGGGAAGCTGAGAAAATTCACAACAAATCCCATCCGGTGCTTATGTTCACATGGGGCTTGGCATCACGAATCTCAATCGCCTCGCGCAGTTTGCGACGGGCTCGATCAGGCTCTCTTCCTATTACTTCAACTGCAGAGAATGCACTTTGCCCATAGTTAAGCTTACATCCAGGGTGAGTGGTGCGAAAATGTTGGCCCCATGGCTTGTCGAGTTCCTGGCGTCTTGCCTCACCATTATGTTCTTCCAGGCGAGTTTCCAGAAAGCGGCCAGTCTCACCAACATATTGTTCCGGACATTCTTTGCACTTCAGCTGATATACAACATTCTTCTGCATACATACATCCGGTCCCCCGGATATACACGAGATACACGGCCCCTTTGGGCGACCTCTCTTTTTCGGTTGTAGCGGATTTGCAGCCTTGACACATAGAGGAGGAACGAGGGCGGAGCGACACAATGTGCGCCTCAGGCTACCAGTGTGCCCATATACGACTCTAACCGGAATTTTATACTTTCTGATTGCTTTATTCACTGCTTGATGTACTTTATCTGACTTATATGGAAGCTTTAGAAATGCGCAGCATGGGTTGGCATGGCGACGACGCTTTGGCCTTATGGAGGCAGTGCGTGCCTCTTCAATGATTTTCTCTGGGTAATTGTTCAATTTTAATTGCTCATGAACCATCGCTTCACTTTCTGCACGCATTCTGGTATTCGATGAGAGCCTCTGAGCTCTTAGGAATTGTGACGAAGCAACTGCCAATTTGATATGGTGGGGAACTGCCGAAGTATAATCAATGAGTAGACCACTAGCACATGCCTTCTGGTACAGCTTGTATGCCAGCTTGCCTTCCTGGATCATAATTGTGATATCCATATAATTTATGGAGCCACTCACCTCGCTGAGCTCATAATTATGTGAAGTTGATACTTGGGTGTGCAGAGTTGAAATGCTGCACAAACCGCATCAAGCTCTCTCTGCCGTGGGTCCATAGCAGCAGGATATCGTCGATGTAGCGTTTGTAGAGGAGCGGTACTAACGGAGAATCCTGCCTCTGTATAGAGGTGACAATCCTGCCTCTGTATAGAGGTGACATAACTCGCATCATTTTATTTTTTGGCGCTACACGCTGCGTAACGCCATTCACAGAGCACAATGCGCGCTACCTTCTGCTGCTTCTCCTCCGTGATGTGCTAGTTGCGCCTTTTCTCTCTCTGTGTCATACTAGGTGACATAATTCGCATCTTTTTTGGCGCTACACTCTGCGTATGTACTGCTCTTGTGTGGCTTCCACGGTATTCATTGTTATTACCTGACGATGGCCAAGTGCCGAAACGTTGTAAAATAACGGAACTGGTTCAGATGTGATATGCAGCGCTATGGGAATGGGTGTGTCCACCCGAATTCTTTTCACAGATGAAGCTGCAGGAAGCCTCAGCCCTTCTTCAAATCATTGTACGTACTTATAATAATGACGTGCAGTCTGCACGTAATACATGTTGTAATACTAATAGGCCCCGAAATTCAAGCTGAATCGACTGCCTGATCACGGATCGTAGGGTGCCTGTTGGCTTGGTAGTGTAACTGTGCTGCACACCTAACAATAAAGCGTAACGCCGTTGTTCGATCAAGTCCAAGTCTTTAGCTGGCGTGTCCAAATAATGACGTGGGCGCCAACTGCGAGCCTCTCATCGACTCGATCGAGAGTCGAGACCGACTACATGTGATTAATGAATAAAGAGTACACGTGATGTCGGTCTTCGGTTACAGGCTTCGGCTTCGTCTACCATGTCTACGTGGCCACTCTTTGGCTTCGAACTTCGTCTACGTGGCCACGTAGAGGAAGCCAAAGGCAAAGGGGCCGAAGACCTACATCACGTGTTCATCTACGTGCGGCTAGTACATAACAACATAGTCATTATGAATGACATCACGTGTTCATCTACGTGGGGCTAGTACATAGTCATTATACATGTACTTGGCCTTGGCAGTGTTGCACACGTAAGAATAAGAATAAATAAACGCGCATTGTGTTCGATCACGTGACTTAGTCTTTAGCTAGCTGGCGTGTACGTGTCCCCAGCGGTTCACATGGTCACTACCAGCTGTGTGTAAAAAATCAGTGGTTGTGGATTCGCCTACATAACAGCATGGGGATAAAACTTAAAGGCTTTGGGAGAGATTTGTTTCAGTTGTAGCGGAGTATCAGTAGCTAACACTACTTCTAATACTGACTGAGTACCCGAGGCTTGCCATCCTACTGAACATATTTCCGTTCTTCTCTAGATTTACTGATGGTGTTGCTGTCCCGCTGTAGCTAGGCGAATACACTGATTGTCGTAGTTGAAAGTCAAATTCTCTGCTAACTAGTACGAGGCTGCAGAATTCGGCAGAAGCTCAGCTAGACGGATCGAAGACTCTCACTACCACGGACGGTAAGGTGAACTGAAGGCTTGAACATCAGCTTACTAATTTTTCTGCATTATCCCGTTGTTGACAATTATTTTTTCGCACTAAAGCAAAGTTTCGTTGCGTTGCTCGTGTCGGGACCAGGGAGTAGTAAAATACAGGGAGGTGACACGAGCATATACGGCCAGTTTGACGATTGCCTCAGCACCGTTTTCACCCGGCGGGTGAGATTGGGGTACTATGGGAACCGAAGTGTGTAGACACGCGCGCGGATGAGGATTCTCTCGATCAGGGAGTAGTAAAATACCTACCG